ACATGCTCCTCCGCCAGGCTCGGTTTCAAGAGGACATCAGACCACTCTCTTTCGTAAAAGTAAAATGTAAAGCTATCCCTGAACAGGCCGTGAAATCCCATAGGGTTGTGAGACGTCGAGGCTGCCACATTTTCTAGACAATCGGCTCACAGATGGCGGTGAGGTAGTCAGCCTTACACGCCGGTATGCCGCCCTTTACCTCCAGGAAGATTCCTGATACTCATTTCTGTCAGAGATTGAGTCAACCCCAGGGCCATAGTGCGGCTGGTAGTATTAGGTCAATTGAAAAATCCAGTGGACTCATCGGGAATCGAACCCGCGACCTTCTGGTTTGTAGCACAGTGCCTTAAAGCTACCGCGTGCCCCCAATTCTATTTTGTACCTCATGGAAATTGGAAGGTTATTTAACAGTACTGTATCAACTGCGACGAGTTTCGTACAGCTAAGTCAGTAAAGAAATTGACTGCTAATTACACGGCTTGGGTTTGTTTGCCGGAAGAATCAGAGATTTTTCTCTGTTCGCTACACAGCTTCTGCGTCTACCTAGACTAATATCAGAGAAATAACGTGGGATATTTCACAGGTGATTAAGCGGCCAGAGCGTGAAGCTGACCAGTTACCTTAATCTGAAGATGAGATCTGTAATATGTGGATATGCTCTCATGCTCCGTATGCACATTCGTGGCAAAGAGGCTTCGTATGTGTTGCACCAGTTTGTGAGTTTATTTCGAAACATTTTGTGTTGGTTAGACTCATTGCTTCATAAAGGCGCTTATCACTCGTGTGCTGTGCTGTCATTGGCAGGAGGTGGATTTGCGGATTCCGCTGAAGGCAGACCAACTGCGTTTTACATCTGTGCCTCTGAGAGCTTTCTGAGAATTTGCGTGGCTCTGACTCATGTAAACATGATCAGATAAATACGTTCTCGGAATTATATGACATATATTTATTGTGTACTTCTTCAAACATAAAACTAATGCAAACGTACATAAAAATTCAGTTCCTACAATATAGAAAGCACACTGTCTTCATCAGGAAAACCACCCGATTAATGCTGTTTAAGAAGATAGTCACTCTTTCTTGTGAGGCCACGTTACGTCCAGGGGTGACGATTCAGACCTGTATTTGGGTGGTGGTCGGTTCGAATATAGTCCCAGACATCGGCTATCCTGACTGAAATTTTTCGTGGTTTGCCTCAGTCCGAGCAGTTTCTAGGATAGCACATCGATTATAACAAACACTGCTTCTTTCCAACTTATCATTCATTTCGATGCTACGCAACGTAGCTAGACTCACACATGAAATGTAAACACGCGATGCGGGTTTGATGCTTGTGGTTGAAATTTAAAACGGGTGGTACATATAGTAACCACCGTGCTTTAACTGTTTGGTCATATTTAACCGAATGCTTTGTGAAAAGGAAATTGTGGTAACAGTTATTTGTTCTAAACAGGTTTCGGATAAACGCAAGGTTCATCAACTGGTGGTTCGCAAGCCCATGTGGAGGCCAGTTCGAATACCTCCGCCGTAGCTCTGCATGTCGTAGGAGGCGACGAAAGGGAAACCCAGTGCCCAGGGGGTGGAAGTGGGTCACCCTGTTCCTGATATAAATGCCGGGACCTCTTCCACCAGGTTTGGGGAGTCTCCAATCTGAGACAGTAAAATATGGTTATGAGTCCCGCGGGACTTGGACCACATTTTTACTTCGCTGGCGAGGGCCAGCAGCAATTGTAAACGACAGACCCGTCCTGTAGTCAAAGAGGGCGCCCCACTTCAACGAATTCAAAACTGTCTGAGAGTAATAGAAATCCGGTCTTGGGCCTCAGATGGGGTTTCATTTTAAGATAGTCTGACCGATTGACCGTCGGTCGTAACGTAACTTTGATTTTGAAGAATGCCGTCTTCTGGGATGTGGCGCCGTGTAGGCCTTGTGTAAACCGACGTGCAGTCTGCAGTCACCAGCTCACGCTGATTTCTCGCTCGCGGATTTTTCTACCCTGAAGATGGAGGCGATACGTTCCTCCAAAACGTCAGTTCACACAAGATCTACACGGCGTCAAATCCCAGAAGACGGCATTCCTCATGGCCACCGTCTTGAAAGCCTCAAATCTTATGTAAATTTGACTTTGTCTTTAAGACTTGGAGCCATGGGTTAAATGCGAGACAGTCGCCAGCCGGTACCGACATGAGCAGAGAAGGCCACTGTTGGGCTCCGTTGCCAGAAAACAGCTAATGAAGGCAGCAGACTGGGAAGACTTAGCGTATTCTATAGTGAACTGTGGAGTGTGTGAACTAGCGACAGTAGTTGCTCGTAGTTACAATCTGTGAGCCCACTGTATCCGATTACCAATCCAAACTCCGTGTCCAGTCAGTAATGCTTGTTAGTATAATGTATATTCCCATATTTTGCCATCCATCTTTGTTCCTGTATCCTACTATTCTCCTAATGTCTCCTTCATCAATATAAGTAAGTCCAAAATCTCGGATTTTTCTTCCGTCGCACCTCAGTATTTTGCTGCGGTCTCGTTCTCTGCAACATTTGGGGAAGCCCCTGTTCATTTCTTAGAGAAAGAGTACATAGGGTAAACTTTCATATTTAAGTAAAGTAAAAAGTAAAGCTATCCCTGTAACAGGCCGTGGAGGCCCATAGTGTTGTGAGATGTTGAGGCTCCCAAATTTTCTAGACAGTCGGCTCATAGATGGCGGTAAGGTTGTTAACCTTACGCGCCGGCCTCCCTTTACCCACAAGAATATTCCAAGAATATTCCTGGTACTCATTTCTGTTAGAGGCTGAGTCGACCCCAGGGCCATAGTGCCGTTGGAAGGATTAGGTCAATTGAAAAAATTCGAATGATCTCATCAGGATTTGATCCCGCGACCTTCTGGCTTGGGACATAATTTTACTTACAGGTGCAACACCAACTCCACCACCAAAGCACGAGTTTCAACTTCTAGAAGTTGATGGCTCCGTAGGAACATTCCTTTGTGTGTTCATTATAAGCGCTTCATGAAAAGAATAAAAACATATGCTAATTCAACTTAACGTCTGTTGCTAGGCGGTAGCTCATTGTGTTGGCTGTGGGGACAATTACCGCCACGTACTCAGCACGGTTGCCATGGTTACGAGGAAGTAGATAACGTGTGAGTTGTTTCGCTGATATGACGACAGCGCCACTGTACATATAGCGAAGACAATGCTGCTCAGAGGTGAAGTGCTTTTAGAGCCATCTTGTTGACAGGAAAGGAGATAATCCCTTTTGTCGTGATCGTACTCAAGCAATCCCCGTGTCGCAATTTTCTTGTTTTCCTCGTATCGTGACCCGGTTTCAAGATGAACTTTGCCACTTGTCTGTGAATCCCCTTGTCCCCTACTGCACCACAACTTTATAAACATCTGCAATACGCGTTCCGTCTCAGTTGTCACTAGAATGGCGAGCAAGAAATTTGTCCTGTTGGCCTCAGTCCTGCTGGCTGTCCTGTTTCTATCAGGTAAGCATATTCTGCCGTTCATCAGTGAACTCACAACTTCATGATTTCAATTTTTATTTATCTGTGGTTTCCTTCCCGACGATGACAGGACCCGCAGTAGCTTAAACAGTGAGATGGTGACTAGGCTGCGGACTAAACGGCCCGGAGGATCTGGGTTCGATTACTTGCAGGAATAGAGATGTCTCTCTCTTCTATATAGAGTCCAGACCGGTTCTGAGACCCAACCGATCTCCTATCCAGAGATATTTTACCCTTGGCTGAAGTTCCACTCCCTTCATTTTCACGGAATGATGCTTCGCCATGTAAAGCTCAGTGGTAACTATATGTACCATTAGCCCTAAAATAAGAAAACTCTGAATTATGCTCATGGAGTGTATCTGTGTGTTTCGTATTGTTGAATCTTCAAGTATGCCAGGAAAACTAACGCAGCTCTGTTGCTCGTGATGAGGGTTTTGCTCCTGTGTGTCAATTAACAGGAAATGAAACCACACTATAGGACCTAGCCTCAATATTCAGCTAATGTCTGAGTTAATTTTCCATAGATCTAAAGCGCACTGCGAGAACACATGCTACGTGTCCTTATTCGGAATAAAAAATCCCTTTATAATCTATTTTAATATTATACTGAGATTAATACCTAGGTCCCCGAAGAGGTCTCTTACCTTGCGGCATTGCAGCATACATTTATGTACATTTGTCTTTATTTGTGGCCTATCCGGTCCTTCTTAATTCAATTATTTAATGTCACTGGTCAAAAGGGCTGCTTGGAGCAAGGATAAAGATCGAGACTTGTATTAGGGAAATGTTCAGTCAGATTTTTGGCTGGAATACCGACCGTCAAGACAGAGGTACAGAAGACTTTCCATGTTTTCTTCAGTACTTCCAGATAAATGCCGGGATATTACCCCGGTTAGGTCGTGCTCGATTCTTTCCAGACCCATTTTTATTGTTTTTAGTAGTGTGAAACTGAGTCCCCTTGTACTGCGGCCACTTCTGGCCTACTGTACCAGCCCCAGATGATAGGTGAGGGTGATTGTGGAGCAATTGGTGGAATTGGGGAAACCGAAGAATTCGGAGAAAACCTGCCCCAGTGCCACTTTGTCCACCACAAATCCCACATGACCAGACCCGGCCTTGAACCCGAGCCATGGCAATGGCAAGCCATCGACTAGCCGCCTGAGCTATGGGGGGCGGTCTCTCCAAATCCTTTCTACTTCATCTGTTATCGAAGCATTCTAGTTATACAGCCTACCCAAGTGCTGAGGGCCTCGTTAAGAAATACACAGAAGAAAGAAACTGGGCAGAGAACAAAGACGCTCAGTTGTCTCCATAATTTGACCGTAATTTCTGAAAATGATGCATATTGTTAAAATGACGAAATAATTTTTGTTTTACGCAGTGGCCGATGTTTCTGGCGCCTATGAATATGATTGCTCCAACTACTGGTGCCCGCCAGGCGAGGAATGCTACATGCACTACTTGTACTGTTTCCGTGGCGAGTGCAAATACACGCCGCGGTGTAAGAAGAAGGCCACGTGAGCATCACCTCACGACGTGACTCGTTGCGACACTTCCTATGCTACGGACGACATATGTCGGATTGAAACGAGTCATTTCTTGTTTACAGGCCTGTATATTCGCCGTATTGCGTCACTAAAAATAAAAATGTGATGCCACAGGCTATAATTCATACAAATTATTTGTTTCATGATAATATAAATAAATATATATATATATATAAAAGAAAATAATGTCTTTGTGTTGCAGACTTCAGCAGGGAAAGGGTTAAAAATATTTTGCAAGAAAATGCAAAGATTTCTATTAAATTGTAGCATAATGTAATTTCAGAGACAACGTTGCCATTTTGTCCCGTTGTCAATCCTTTTGGGTCGAATTCTGTATTCAGGAGACTTATAACACTTTTACTCCGAGAACATAGCAATACGTTTTATTGGAAACGCCGATCTATTTCAGTACATTGTAATACCACAACTTGAGTAACTTAACAATAAAGCTCTTCATTCAGTGGGAGAGATAACACGCCTAATCAGTGTCAGAAACATCACTGAAGCAATTAACTGGTTGTTTTGTTAAGGATTGAGAACGAATTTTTAATGAACTTGATGCTTTTTCTGGTTGCAACGGTTATCACTGTAGAATAAAAATTGCGTCTTTATCTGTATTTCGAAGTGTCAAATTGTCAATGAATGTACACGTTATAGATACAAGGCAACACAAGAGTTCAGTCTTTACTCGTATTACACACTGCTTATACGTGTGTACGAATCACAAATGTAGTAATAAATGCATCACATGTTTTAAAGCATTCCTTTGCTTCCCAGACACCATGGCACAGGGAGAAATTTACCTTCAAGTGGAAACTACTTTAGTTGCTCAGCTGGCCAGCAAATTTGCCTCCTCTTATGGAATCTGAAATTCCATTATGTTGCCCAACATAGCAAATTGAAGATATCCCGGTGAATTATTAAGCACTATACCATGAAGCTGTGTGGGGGAGTGGAGGTATAGCTCTACGGATTGTTAACCTGAGCACTAGTCGAGCTAGATGGTTAGCTTCACGCTTCCGCCGCTTTACCACCTGGTAAAGAGCCCTCATTATCCATTTGTTACAAGACTAAGTGGATCCCAGATCTGATCTGGAAGAGGTTTAGAAGAGAAGAGTGTGTTAATCTTACAGTAAATCGAACTCCGATCCATTGGTCGCCCAGAAAATAGCCTAGTCACTATGTCGACTGAGCTATCCCGGTCTGAATTATTATTCCATACCTTTACACCCCTTTCTTTATTTCTATGCTGAGATGGGATCCACTGGAACGTTCTTGTGAACGTGGTGACGAAATGTGAGCGTCCGGAAAACACTGGGGGCGTCTTGAGTAGCTGAGGAACCGTCAGTTGCTCCATGGAGTCAGCTAGTTCAAAGTGTCCATCTGACAGTTCATAATTCATTCTCGACGATAACTGTCTATTGGCCATAGTTGTACGATTAGAAATCCTTATTTGTATATGGGGTTTCGTGGGTTTTCTCAGTTCCTTCAGGCAAATACCGGGCTAGATTACACCACAATCTTTCCCTTCCACATCGCCTCCTCTCTCAGTAATGATGCTATACAACTCAAATACTGAGAGAGTTTTAAATTAACCCACCAACTGCAGCCTCAATTTCCTTTCAAAAAATTTGAATTGGTTTGTAAGTTTATCGGCGGATATTGTGGACAAAACAATCCCGTGATCACAAGTGCTCATATCTCTTGTCCGGATGGCTGAAATCGCTTCCTGCTACGGATCAGACTGAAATTCGATCCCTGCTTGCCGCGGAGTAAGGACGAAGCGACAGGCACGACCTCAAGCGTCGGAAGTGGTTAACTCTTTCTTACTTCCGGTTTTGCGGTAAACGCGAGAGAAACAACAGACTGTCGCCATTGCTACAAGTGCTGTTTCTTCGCAATGTGGACTGATCTTGATTGATTCGATGTCCTTGGTATGATCAAAGTAATTTATTATGACCCACCGTCTATGTCTATTATAATTTCTTTATAAATTCTATAGCAGATTAGTTTCGTTTTGTCAGACATCTTCGCTGCCTCTTAGATCGTTATTTGCATTGCGATTAGCAGTTTTACGTTTTACGAGAGCTGGTTAGAAGGGATGCACGCCAAGCAGCTAACTATAGAAAACGTGTACTCGTAGGAGAGTAACTCAGCAATGGCGTTGCAATGAAATGGGAGCGGAGATAGTGCATGCTCTTTCTATAGCACGGTCAGGTTTACCGTTTGGTCTCATCGCTCTGTACAAGTGAGACAATGTGGTCAGGATACGGACAATTTTATAATTTCGATTCTTCTTGAACGACAAGAAATGGAGAAAATAAAAAGGTGTATGGCCGAAGTGATAAGAAAACTGGACAAGATTCTGCAACAAGTAAACCAGTTCGTTGGGTCACATAAAAGAATGCACCAGACTAAATACAGTAAAATATATAAATGTATTTAATGTATTGGAACAGCACAAGTAGCTGTAAAAACTTTATATTTTATACCGAATTTCATATTAATATTATATGTATACATTTTAACTTTTAGAACATGTATTTTAATAGTAACTTCCAACTGTATTGATGTAAATGTGTCCCTCTGATGATGGTCTCTGAAGACCGAAACATATAAGGGCATAAATAATTAAAATAAGAAAATCTTCACCAGTCACACTAGACGGAACTGTTTAACTCCCCATTACAATAAAACATGTTGATATACGTTTAATTAATAATATTTCAAATCTGTTAGCGCGTCGGATGCAGTTCTTTTATATCGCCTGAGAAACTGAATTTCTGTCGAGAGCGAATACCAGCGCCTGGAACATTTCCTTTAGAGCACACGCAGCACCGAATTGCCGGAGAAGTTGCCGCCTAAGCCCGGGGCCCCTCTGTTTCGTAATGAACAATACTGAGCACGCGGTAACAGCGTGCGCACCCGCTGGTAACCGCACGTCCCTAGACATCCCAAGTACTGGGATCAGTGTTCAAATCTCGCTCGAGGCGTGCATGTTCTCTATTTCGATGTGTTCACAAGGAAAACTATATACAGTAATTCGCATGATAGCTTCGCTTGCCATGTCTTCTCGGTAGGTCCGTCTCTTTCCATGTAACGAACTGAGAACTGACGCACGAGTTTTCATAAAATTCTACTAACATTTGTCATCATATTCCAATTTTGGGTAACATCGGACAATACCGGACACTTCACATGAAGACCTATGGACGTTTCTACTCGCAATTCGAGCCTAAGTCGCTAAACATTGCGGCATGTAGACCCGTTGCTAGAGAATGACCACGAAATAAGCTACTATATAACAGCTGTTGATAGGAAACGGTCCGACAACGGACACGAAAGCAACAATTCCACCGCGGCAATTGAGCACAACAATAATGGGAACCCTAACAGGCACAAACACAACAATGGTACAGAGACAGAGTGAGGTGTTTGCTATGCGGTCCGTGCTCAGATGTTATAAGGGGGAAGTGCAGTGATTTGGTTGCTGAGTGAGTTACTTAGATAACCGCCTGTGTTCAGTCGTTGTGAGTTATTCGTGTTAGAAGCTTGTAACTGAGGCACAGGGACAATCCGGGAACTCAGAGGAAGGGGAACGTCCGCCGTTGAAAGCCGCTACCAGGCAATGACTGACGGAGACACAGCAGACTGAGAAGGCTTGAGTGTGTGCTCTAGTGAATTAGCAATAGCGCTTCAGTTACTTGTAGCTACGAGTTCAGTGCATAACTATTAATAAATGCGATTACCAGTCCAAACCCCATCTCCAACCACTCATAAACGCTACAATATTTATCAGGACGAAATAAGTTTACAGCAATATTTTCATACGATATATGAATTTCACTCTTTACACGCAGTGCAGTTTTTCCATAAAGTTTTATGGGTTACGATAGTGGTTCTCAACCTCTGTCAGACCGCCGCCCGGGAAATTCTTTATCCTATAAGACGTGGGCCCGGTATAACTGATGCCAGGGCCTGCGGTTGAGAAACACTGATCTAGGACCTGTATTTAGTGACTTTTTAGTGCACTATTTAATGACCCTTCCATTATCAAGTCTATGGGATCTGGTTTTGGTATAATTGAAAAATTATAGATTGTAATTATTTGGAAGGACGAGCTAGTGTTCAGATTAAGGTAATATCTCGTCATTTCCAAGGAAAGACAGAAAATCTGCGAGAAACCTGAGAAAGTGTAACCGGTTTCTTGACCGGGATTCGAACCGAGATTCTCCTGGAATCAATCCAGACCACCTGCTCAGTATGACATGAAAAGTCTAGTCAGTGCAGCGGATTCGGAGCCACGTTACGGATGGAAAATAATCGTGGCTCCTAAAGCGACAAATCGCCATTTTGAATTTTAGAAGGCGTTACTTATTCACGGGCGAGGCCAAAGTGTACAAAAGAGCTTGAAATACACGGGAAAATTCCATCCAAATGTTTATTTGGCTGCGTAATTCAGATACAATTCCACCAGATGTCATATGCTGTCAAATATATCAATTTTTGTAGCTGTTGATATTTTCAACACTTGCGTTAAGCAAACAGACTGCATCATTTCGTGTTGAAATGTTGCACTGAGTATACAAGGGCTACGCAGTGCAGCAAGGACACTTTGCATTTGACTTGTTTGTTTCGTGTTCTGCTCCGCGGCGTGTTATTGTAACAGACAAGTGCAACAGAGTAGAAGGCCGCTCTGTGTTACTCAGCTATCACATGTATCTACCTGACTGATGACTGACTGACTAACTACTTCTTTTATTGCTAGTGGGGTGGGATTAAGTCCCTTGTACTGCGGCCACTTCTGGTCTATTGTACCAGCCCCAGATGATAGGTGAGGGTGATTGTGGAGCAATTGGTGGAATGAAGACTGGCAGGGGAAACCGAAGTGCTCGGAGAAAACCTGCCCCATCGCCATTTTGTCCACGAAAATTCCCACTTGACCAGACCCGGGATCGAACCCGGGCCGCCGCAGTGGGAAGCCAACGACTAACCGCTTGATCTATGGCGCGGCCGACTATCTAACGAATCAATCAACCAAACAGCTGTTGGGTCCGTTAGAAAGATCTAACCTCAACCACTGAGTAGGCCTCTCAAACTCCCTCACCTGAAGACGGAAACGAAACCAGTTTCCGAAACGTTGCGTTTAACCCAGCAAACCTGTGTGTCTCACAACATTGTCAGGATCTTTAGAATCTGTCCAGAACAATTGGTAACGCGTGGCGGGGGCTGTTTACCCCAGAGTGGGGCCGACCACTGGTACTTGAGCGCATAGCAGTTGCGCCTTGTTACCCGTGGATCTGACGATGTGTTACGTTCTCAGTTTCAGTCTGCAACAAGCTCCGTCCGCTCCAAGTTCGATGCGAGCTTTTGGAAAGTGTGTCTCAGAGTAGACACACCTACAAACCTGAACGCATTCCCACAGGAACCGGGTCTAGAGCTGAGGACACGTCTTGCTATGGGCCCCTCCACAAGGTCTTGACTGATAAGAGCTATGTCATTATCCTGAATATTGTTCCCCACTGTCGATACGCTGACTGTATCAGCCTGAGTCAAAGTAACGTGACAATTCCACATTTTGTTCTTGGTTTATTGAGACCTCTTGCTTCGTGTTCGCTGTGATCGTGTGTATTCCCTTCCAACATACTGATGAGAGCAGATAAGAAGACAACGAGACTGAGAAGAGGAAGAACAACAACAAGAAGGAAAGGAAACAGACACTGTCACACGATACCTGTATCGTGTGTTGTCCACGAAAGTCTTTCCTGTGACGTGTGTGTAAAATGATAAATGTTGTTTACTGAAATGCTGATGACTCACATAGTAGTAGGGGAAACCCGTAGACATGTACAGCACTAGAAGCACGTCACACAGCACCGCCGTATATATATATACAGCCAGGAAAGCACAGCCACGGTCAAAGCTGTCCACGGAATTTGAAGTGTGCTTACGGAGATAAGAGCCAATATGGTGCTGTCCCCTGTTCCTTTGTTTGTGTCTGCTGTCCTGCTTGTGATATGTGAGTATGGTCTAGAGACATAGAAACGCAGCTCAGAGCTGTAGAAACGTGTACTGTCAATCTTATTCGTGAATGCTGAAGAATACACGTACACACTGACTCACTTTTAATTCGAAATGTTCATTGTTATGTAGCTAATGATGTGCACTCCGGTCACCGTAGCCGAGCGGTCTAAGGCATGCATTGTCATCGCTCGCTCGGAAGCCGGGATCGTGGGTTCAAATCCCACTCAGGGCATGGATGTTTAGTGTTTGTGTGTGTGTACAGGTAGAGGCCTTCCGACGAGCTGATCACCCGCCCAAGGAGTCCTATCGAATGACTAAGACCTAGTAAACCGAAGTGAAACGGAGAGTTTCATGGAGGTAGGTGAAGACCCCAATTGGGGCTGTAGCGCCAAAGTACAGGAATTATGCGCATGAGATATACCCGTAGTAGCGTTCCCATTTAGGTGACATCTATGACGAATGCACAATTCGACTCTGTTATGGGTGATATTTTGACTTCATCTGGCGTAACGTTTTTCAAAACCTATTATATGTGAAAAATTTACTTGGGGTATGACGCCGTGTAGTTTAGTAGATGTTCGCCGACAGGGAGGAAGAACCGTACTGACGCTATCTTCAGGCTGGAAGACAGGCTAAGGGGGCTGTGAGAGAGAAACAACTAATCTACGTCCCGATAATCAGACATATTATTTTAAACGATAATATAGCAATAATAATAAATTCAGAATTCTAACTTCGCCAACAATGTGTGATTTTATTCAGCGGGTTCGAACGGCTCCTATGCGTCCAGCCAGCGGCCATCTTGTGCCACTGTGAAGTGCCGAGCAGGCTTCGTGTGTATACTGCAGCAGGTTCAGTGCGTCACCGCTCCGTGCTACTCCCAGCCTGTCTGCATCCCCGTGGAGGAAGGTTCGTATAGCGCTGCGAGCAACTGCTACTCAGGGAGATCCCCGTGCGTTACCGTGTTCAAAATCTCACCACTAAACTCAACCAAAGCCGGATGAATTTAATCCTCACCCTCTATATCTAGCAAGTACTTCTTCCCTTCCGGTTCACCGATTCAAATTCTGTACACATTCTTGGTTCCTCCCATTCATGCTACACTTCACGCCCTTCTCATCCAGTTTCATTTGATCCCACTAATAATATTTACAGTTCATAGATCTTGGACAGGCCGGTCACGGTAGCCGAGCGGTCTAAGGCATGTAATGTCTTCGCTCGCTCGGAAGCCGGGATTGTGGGTTAGAATCCCACTCAGGGCATGGATGTTTGTGTGCGTTTTTCTGTGTTTGTCTACAGGTAGAGGCCTTGCGACGAGCTGATCACCCGCCCAAGGAGTCCTACCATATGTGTAAGATCTAGAAAAACCGAAGTGAACGGAAACGTTCATGGAGGTAGGGGCTGTGTGCCAAAGTAAAATAAAAGATCTTGGACAGATAGAATGGACTGATCTGGCTCACGATAAGAACAAATGGAGCGCCTTTGTTAACATGGGAATGAACCCTGGGGTTCCATAAAATGTTGGGAAATTCTCCCAAATACACTGCTAGGCCTGTTAGTATGTAACTATAATGCTCAACTCAAGAAGTATTAAATGGGCAGGGCAAGAAGAACGCGTGAGAAGAAGGGGAACACATGCAGGATCCCGTATTAAAGCCAATAGCAAAAACATCATTAGGAAGACATGGGCGTATGTGTAAGGATAGTGTTAAAATGGATCTTAGAGAAATAGGATGGGATAGTATGGGCAGGACCCATTTGAATAGGAATAGGAACCAGTGGGGGGATCTTGTGAACAGGCAATGAACCTACAGGTTTCATAAATTTATCTGAAATTCTTAAGTAGCTGAGCGACTAGCGCTGAGTTAGTTAATATTGAGGTACAAAAGGAACACAATGTGATCACAATTGGCATGTGAGGCCCCCCTCGCTAACATCAGATTTTACCTTTTATTTGCAGTTCCTCCACTAACTTGTGCGACTTTCGACTGTGTCCCGGGATACTATTGCGTACTGGAACGAGTTCTGTGCAACAAGAAGCCATGTCCAATAAGACCTATCTGTGTTGAAGGTTGGTTTCCAGTATAACCGCTCTGGGCCATGTTCATGTCAACTCCAAGTACATACATATGGCCCAACATTTAGTCCATGAGACCTCAGGGCGTCAAGTACACTTCTTACCTGGCCAACTAGAAAGTGTCGGACTAAACTGGCTTCTAGTTAATGAGTCCGGGTGACCCAGATAACTTTAAAATATTACCGCCATAATGCCTGTCACATCACCGCTGCCAGCCTTAGAAGCTAAAGACAATGATTAAGGATATGTTAAAACGACGTGGCATGTATTTTACACTTATTCGGGTCACCCGATAATACGTAAGTAGATGACGTGCAAGAACTTTGGCATATGGTCGGGTATGAAAGTAGAATGCATGGGGAAGCAGCTCCGTTGTGTTGGTACCCGTCTCCGCTACCGGGCTATGTGATCCGCACAAAGCCAGGCAGCGGTATGACCTGCTTCACCTTTGCCCGCCTTGTTCGGGCTACTACGCATGTCAATGTTCGTTACTGTTTCCAAACAACAGAGCAGAGTTTACGAGTTGGAGCGTTTTCAAGTACCAAGGTTTTAATATTTATATTCACCTGCGGTTTGTTTAATGACGCTGCCCACAACTGAGATTATATAGTAGCAGAGACTGGGTGAGAGTGAACAATGATTTGGAAAGATGTGGAAGGAAGCGGTAGTGGCATATTTTAATGTATTAATAAAGTATTGCCTGGACAGACTGAAGAAATTTACGGAAACGTAGTCAGGATAATGGATCCACTTGCCGCAACTCGAACCCAACACCTCTTAATTCAAGCTAAAGCGTCATCGGTTCCAAGTCAAAGACAGATTTACTTTAAAACTAGCAGTTTACTGCCAATCAGTTCATCTTGGCGCCAGTCACCTCGAGACTCACGACCAGACTTCTATTTGCAACGGGACCATAGCCATAGCCCTCATGCAGCATCTTCGGAAGATCGCTCCTCCCTATATAGTCTCTGCACGGGCCGCACAGAAAACACCTATTGCCACAGCTTCTCTTTTTTGCTTGAGTGTCTGTTGTGGCGATCATCTGTCTGTTGCTGTGACTTTGCGTAGCAACGGGCGTGTTTGCAGAGTCATTTGCTAACAACGGCTATCTCTGTCGGCTTTCAGCAGACATGTCACAACAGTATATTCACTTCGACCAGTTTTGTAATATGACGAGCTAAGTGGCTACTACCAGTAATGGCTTTATGCATTAAATTGTTGCCAGGCAAATAAACAGCAGTGAACATGTGTAATGTGGGCATATTTATGGTTGATTAACAAAGAGAATGTCACTGGGGAAGGAATGTCGAATCCGGTTTACTTTGTAAGGAAATCTGTGGCAATGAGGGCAACGGCAGTGCTCACAAATAATTACGATGATGAGAATAATAAAAATAATTCCATTATTCTTAATCTGCAGCACCAATAGAGTGAGGGGAGCAGACGTCTGGCTCAGTTGGCCCACCTGCGTGTCCTGCAAGCAAACACTGTGCTGCACCTGCAAGGTACTGACTGTATCAGGCTGAGTCAAATAAATGTAAAAGTTTCGCATTGTATCCTGTTTGTATTCACCCTTATCCACTCTTGTCTTATGGTCGACTTTCCGATACAAATACAGAGCAGGATACTGTCACACTGATACGTATCAGGCAGGAACTGAAAGACACGGAGTGAGGTGTTGATGAAACAACATCCAATCGGAGCAAAAATGACTGTGGCGCCGATCCGCAGTTCCTCTGCTGTATCAGCTGTTCTGCTTGTGTTGTGAGACCATGGCCCGTGGGTGTGAATTAGAAACGGTACGTCAGAGGTACTGATATGTGTAGTAGCAAGTTAGCAGGTAGACAAGCGGGTACAAATTAGTGAAGTTTTGCATTTAGTAACACAGTATTACTAGAAAGGAACATACAGATAGCTATCCGTGTAACATGCCGTGGGCGCCCATAGGATTGTGAGTCGTCGGGGCTCCCACATTTCCTAGAAAATGGGCTCATAACTGGCGCTCTGTTTGTTTGCCTTACACGACGGACGACAGCATTTTACCTCCAGGATACCTGATTCATATTTCTGTTAGAGACTGAGTCGAACCCAGGGCCATAATGCGGCTGGAAGTATTAGGTCAATTGAAAAATCAAAGTGAACACATTGGGGATCGAACCCGCGACCTTCCGGTTTTTAGCAGTGCCTTAACGCTACCGTGTGCCACAAATTCTCCTTCGGAATATCATGGAAATTGGAAGGTTATTTAACAGTACTGTATCAACTGCGACGAGTTTCGTACAGCTAAGGCAGTAAAGAAACTGACTGCTAATTACACGGAAGAATCAGAGATTTTTCTCTATTCGCTACACAGCTACTGCGTCTACCTAGACTAATATCAGAAAAATAACATGAGATATTTCACAGGTGATTAAGCGGCCAGGGCGTGAAACTGACCAGTTACCTTTATCTGAAGATGAGATCTGTAATATGTGGATATGCTCTCATGCTCCGTATGCACTTTCGTGGCAGTGAGTCTTCGTATGTGTTGCACCAGTTTGTGAGTTTATTTCGAAACATGTTGTGTTGGTTAGACTCATTGCTTCATAAAGGCGCTTATCACGCGTGTGCTGTGCTGTCATTGGCAGGAGGTGGATGTGCGGATTCCGCTGAAGGCAGACCAACTGCGTTTTACATCTGTGCCTCTGAGAGCTTTCTGAGAATTTACGTGGCACTGACTAATGTAAACATGATCAGATAAATGCGTTCTCGGAATTATATAATATATATTTATTGATGCTTTTTCAAA